TAATTAAACTAGTTAATTTGATCCTAAATGGGATCTATTTTCTAAAATTCTAAAAAACCGAAACGAACCAAACCTAACTATAGGGATCTATTGTTTGGAAACTCAAACCAAATATATGAATACCCACCATTAACTCGAAACACACAACAACCATTTGAATCCGGCGGATTTTGTTGTTTATAAACCGTAGAAGTTTGAATTTTTCGATCCATAATCTTTTGTTGGTAGTACCGCATTTAGTGCGCAAAACTTCCCTCCTTGCAGAGTTAAACTAGAGATTTAGAGTACTCATTCTCAAGACTATTAAACTACACACGGATTTGGTAAGGTTGTAATTTTCACAAACAAGAAATTGTATCTATATTTAATGATATTGTTACCCTTTCCTTACCTACAAAAGACTTTGAAGACAATGAAAGAGCAAAATGTTATTATTATTTTAGGTGCGTGACAAACGTGGAGGCGTTTTCCCTGAGTGTAGCAGACCTTGAGGACGTAACAAGCTTGTTCTCGAGATTCCTAAGGAACCTTCGAGTCCAAGGAGCTATAAGGTACGAGTCTCCTTATTGAAGGCTACGAGCAGCTATGTAGATTCAAGTAGCTTGGAGATACATAAAGAGACGGCTCCAGAAATTATACACTGCTCAAAAGAAAACATATTCTTCTTAGTTATTCAAAAAAACATAACAAAGACATTCCTATATTTTCCATTAACATCTTCTATGTCTTTTATGTAAAAGAAAAGATGCAAAACTTCTCTGTATTTTCATCCTCTCCAACGTTGTGTACTGTAACGTGACTGATACTCTTCCCACAACACAGCGACATTATTCTCTTAATCGATGTAGAAACTCATATACGGAAACATATCTATTATCATGTATACATACACCAACAACATATCCACTAGACCATAAAAATTATTATTAGGAGCGACTAAAAATAGGGAACAAGTCTCAAGAGACGAGAGGTCCACAAAACTTCCGTACGGCTGAGTTTGACCATATCAATTTCAAATACAGAAACCTCTAAATTTGCTTATAACTATGTGTAAATTAACTCTAATTTAAAAGTCCCTAATCTTCTGTAAATAACTAATATTAGCCATCCCCAATTTGAATTATTCA